GTACGGGGGACGGGGGGAAAGGGTGTGGGATAAACTACAGCCACGAGCCGCCCTCTGTCGCTCCAGCCGTGCCCGAGGAAGGACACTAGAGGAAACACGCGCCATCACAGCCCAAACCATAACGTGCCTGAGGGGAATGTGAAAAGGCTCAGATGTGAACGAAATAGTCAAACTTGACCGAGATCCACGCGCACAGTGTGCGTCCACTGGGGAGCCGAGAGTCGTGGGCAGTAAACTCAAGGCTGTACGGTCTTCCGCTTTCCCTGGCCGGCCATCATCGGCATAATTTTAATCAATATTTAATCAAAAATAATCTTTTTGGCACACAAATCGAACATCTTGAACTGCCAGAACATATTTGCAACATGCACGATAGGTGAAAGGCTAGTGTGAAAATTAAAAAGTCCTCACGACCAAAACAGGATTAAGATGCAGAAGAAGCAAATACAACATTCAAAACATGCAAATTTCTTCAAGCATGTGAAAAGCGACTTGACCTCATTAATGCAATTTCTCACGTTAAAACAGGTGAACGCCCGCCCCCCGTAAGATCCACCAGGGTCGCAATGCCGAGCATGTCCAGCGCTGCCGAGCGTGGGGGCCTCTCTCAGAAACGCTTAGCGGCCGTGGTGTGTGTGTGTGTGATAACATAATATAAAATTTACCGTTTTCACCATTTTGAAGTGTACGATTCGGTGGCATTCGGTACAGTCACGATGCCGTGCAGCCGCGACACTCTCTAGACCCAGAACGTTCTCATCAGTCCAAAAGGAAATCCTGCGCTGTTAAGCGGGCCCTTCCCGCCCGTCAATCACTGATCCGCTTCCTGTCTGTGGATTTGCCTGTTCTGCACGTTTCACGTCAACGGAATCACACGGCATGTGGCGTTTTGTGTCTGGCTTGTTTCACTTAGCACGATGCTTTCAAGGCTCGTCAGCCGGCAGCGTGTGTCAGGGCTTCGTTCCCTTTTAACGGCTGAATAATATTCCACCGTACGGAGAAACCACATTGTTTATCCTCAGCAGCTGATGGATGTTCCGCCTTCCAGCTGCTGTGAATGGTGCCGCTGTGAATGTTTGTACGAGCTTCTGTTCCAACACTGCTTTTCAACTCTCTCGGGTCTGTACCCAGGGGTGGACTTGCTGCGTCTCGCTTTTGGGACCCGCCAGAGTTTTCCATGGCAGCTTTACCATTTGACATTTCTACTAGCGACATAGGAGGATTCTAGCCGCCCCACGTGCTCGCCGGCAGGTTCTTCGTACATTACTCTTGCAACTGCCCTGGTGGGTATGAAGGGGCATCTCATCGTGGTTTCGCTTTGCATTTCCCTAGTGACTCATGATATTGGGCTTCCGCTCAGGTGCTTGTTGGCCATTTGTATATCTTTTCTGGAGAAATATCTATCAGAGCGCTTTGTCCATTTTTTAATCGGGTCGTTTGTCTTTGTGCTTGAGTTATAGGTGTTCTTTATATATTCCGGGTCCTAGAACCTTATTAGAGTTATGATTTGCAAATATTTCTCCCATTCTATGGCTTGGGTTTTCACTCTTTCGATAACGTCCTTTGATACGTAAAGCTTTAATTTTGATGAAGTCCAATTTATATTTCGTCCTTTGTGCTTTTGACGTCATACGTCAAGGAACCGTCGTCAGATCTCAGGTCATGCAGATTTACCCTACGTTTTCTTCTAAGAGTTTTGTAGTGTTAGCTCTTATATTTAGGTCTTTGAGCTATTTTGAGTTAATTTTGATATATGATGGGAGATAGGGGTCCACTTCATTCTTTTGCCTGTGGATACCCAGTTGTCCAGCACCATTTGTTGATGATACTATTCTTTCCATATTGAATGATCTTGACACTCTTGTTGAAAATCAGTGGACCACAAATATATAAGTTTATTTCTAGACTCTCGATTTTATTCGCTCGATCCCTATGTCCACCCTTACGCTGGCGCCACCGTTTCGATTACTGGCGCTTTGCGGTGAGGTTTACCTCCTCCTTTCTGCTTTCGATGTCTTTTATCTCTTTTCTTGCCCAACTGCTCTGTCTAGAACGTCCACCGCAATGCTGGACAGAAGTGAGCGTCCTCGTCTTGTTCCCGATTTTCGGGGAGAAGGCTTCAGTCTTCTACCACTGAGTGTGCTGTTAGCCGTGGGTTTTTCATGACGCCCTCTAGTACGCTCAGGAAGTTCCCTTCCATTCCTGGTTTGTTGAGCGTTTTTATCCCGAAAGAATGTCGGCTTCTGTCAGTGTATTTTTTCTGAGTCAGTGGAAACGACCGCGGGGCCCCGTCTTCGTTTTGGGGACGTGGCGCATTGTGCCAAGGGGTTTTCGTAGGCCGAGTCGCCCTGCGTTTCTGGGGCAAACCCCGCTGGTCGTGGTGCACGGTCATCCTAACGTGCTGCCGGAAGTGGTTTGACTGTGTCAAAACCTTGGGGTCCGTCAGCTGGAGCTCGCCGCCCACCCCACGTCGCGTCTCCCCCACACTGCTCCGGGGCCCGACCCCGCCGCCCAGTCCCTTGTCGCTTTGGCTTCCCTCAAAGCTGCCAGTCTTTCCGACCTGGTGTCCGGGTCAAAGTCGCGTTCCCAGATGTAGAATATGTGTCACCTTCAGAAGACAAAGATGCCCATTGGGGTTTCCCATGAGACATGGTGATTTACCCTCTACTTTGGGAGGTTGGTCCCAGCCTGCCCCGGGATACTTCCAGACACTCTGCTCCCGCGTAGGCCTGAGTCATGGCAGCCCCCCGATCCCCCCTGAGCACAGGTGCCTTATGAGGCCTTCGATGGAGTTGGCGCTGCTTGCTCACGAGGGTCCGGTGAGGTCACTGACCTAGTGGACAAGTGCAAGCTTTCACAAGACGTCCTGAAGGTTCAGATCTATTTTAAGTACGTCAAGTCAAAGGTCGGGACAAAACTACTGAAGTATGCCTTTGTTTCGTATGAACGCAAACTCTTCGTGAGCCTCTCCAGGCTGAAAAAGAACGCATTCGCCATGTCAGCGGCTGCTTACCGCGGCCTGAGTGAATGCAGCTTCGGCTGCTCTAGAAAATACAGCACGTCGGCCATGGTGGCTGCAGCGGGGGCTGCTATTCGGCTAGTTTGCAGTCCGTGGCCATCCTCCAGGATCCGTCTAGTTAGTCCAGGGGCCAGACTGGAGAACCACCCCTCTCCCCGATCCTTGCGTCTTTAAGGTGGCACTAATGGCTGCCGTTGCCACCAGATTGCAAAGCTGTGTTTGAATTGCTACTTGACTTGGGTCAGGGTGGGGGTGGGGTGGGAGAGCAGGTTCAGAGGCGTCTACTCCACCTTCACCATCCCCCCGCCCCACACCAATATGACAGCTCCTTTCCCAAAGCCTAGTAATGAAAGTTGTACCTCCAGGGGGCCGGGGATGGCCGCTGGGCTGGCCTGAGGGCCCAATGGACTCACTCTGAGCTGAGTGTAGCCAGGACCCTGCTCACGACCGGCCCTGCCTGGGTGGCGTTTTGACAGGGAGCCGGTAATGATGTCTCGATCTCAACCTGAACCTCGAGTTCAACCGTCCTTGAAATGTTGGGGTAGACCCCTCCCTGTTCTGGTGTACTGTTGCGTGAGTGAGTCCTATACAGGTGCAGGACTGGGAGAAGCATTTCCTTCATGTGGTCTTCATTGCGGGGTCTTTCCTTCTGGGGTGGGAGCATTTACACCAAGGAAAATGGCAAACACGACATTTTGGGGGAGGCTAGCACAGCGCTTGCATACTCTTCAAAATCCTTGAAAACAAAAATGAAAACAGAAATCAAGCCTAGATGATCAGGAGGGGGCGGGGTGGGGGGGGACGATTGCTCTGACAGAAAGTGTCATTCGCTCTCTCCGAGTTCTTGGATGGGAGCCAGTCCTCAGACTGCAAAACCTTGATTGCATCCATGGCAAAGTTACCAGTAGTTTAACAACCAGCTTGCGAAATTCTCGAGTCTTTAACAATCAACTCTGGCAAGCTAGCACAAGTCAGCTTCAGCTGGCTCCAGCACGCTGCAGCAGGAGCCTGGGTGCCCGCCCCGCGCCCCGGGCAGCCGGCGTTCTGGGAGCCGCCTCCAACAGCCCCCCACATCCACCCGCCGTGGCCTGGCTTTCAGCCCGGCGCCTCCCGGTTGCCTTGTCTCCTTCTAATGCCGACAGTTTTAAGTTTAGGTTTATTTTTCCATCGTTGTTTATTTTAATATAACCCCCAAAACGTGGGTGCATTGTTCCTGTTTCTTATACAAGAGGTGGCATATTATACACAGTAGTCTGCACCTTGCATATGTCACTTACCAACACGTCCCGAAGACCACCGCGTCGCGCTTGACCGAGACCTTCCCCAGCCTGCTTTGTGGGCACACAGCCCTGCGCACGGGACCGCAGCCTGGCTTATTCAGCCCGTCTCCTACGGGTGGACAGACATGTTCCTCCAGGATTTTGCTACTCTGAATTATGCTGCAATGAATGGGTGTCACTGGTGGATAGCACTTAATAGTTTTGCCAGTGTATCTTTGGGATAAATTCCTAGAGTTTATTTTATCATTTATTTTCATCACTGGGTCATCACGTAAGTTTGGTGGATACTCTCAAACTCCCCTCTGTATGGGTTATTCCATTTTGTGCTCCCACAGGCGGTGTGTGAGGGTGCCTGTTTTGTACACTTTCTCCAACTGAATGTGGTTT